TGGCACCTGTATGGTTTGGGTGTGGCTAGTGGCCGTACCTCATGGAAAGTTTAGGATTTTTTAAATAATTATATATAAGGACCATCTCTTGATTTGAAAGAAATGCAAAAGTTGTCGCTGTAGTGCCCCCATCTGGCAGACTGGGGTGCCCTTACCAGGGTGAGGTCACGGTCTGATGATACATAGACATTCTAGATTTAGTTGAGATTGGTGATTGCTAGGCCTCTCAAATGCATGCCTGATTTTCATTGGCTAATTATGGCCACTATTATATGACTTATGACTGTCATATTATGGGTCTCACCTCAGGCTTGGCCATAATACACATGTGCCAAATTTCACTTGGATAGGCCAAGCAGTTCAGGAGATATTGAAATTAGGTATTTGTAGTGCCCCCTATTGACTAAATGCGGGCCGCTTTGTATGGTGTCCCCAGAATGTAGCAGGGAGGTAGGATTGTAAGTTTGGTTAGGGTAGGCTAAGGTAGGGAGAAGTTATAGCAGTCAGACTGAAACAGACCAAATTTAGGTGGGATTTGGCCGTGGCTAGTGGCCATAAAATAGACAAATGTCAGACTTTCTTGGATATCTTTTGATCAGCTCAGAGGACTGGTCGGTTTGACACCTCATTTGTCTGATTTGGTCGAATAGTGTAGGACAGGGGTCATCAACTATATTTGTCAGAGGGCCAGAGTTTTACCAGACAGTAAAGAAGAAAATCAAATAAAAATCTAATTTTGGCTTAACATTATGTTTAGTGTTTATACTTTTTCCATTTCATTACAAAACTGAAGGCATTTGATTCAGGCTCCCATACCTATACCACAGTCAACCAGATATAGATAGATATTTTGCCTCAACTCAATTAGGCTAAGTCAACTTTATTTATACGGAGGAAGTGACAGGAAAGGGTCTCTTAACAGAGGTAAAATGGCACTCTGTTAGTTTCAAGCATGTTGTTGAGACTTAGAAATAAAAAAAACAAATGTTAAGTAAGGGCATGAGGAAACTTATGCGTTCGTTTTTTTTTTTTTTTTTTTTTTTTAAAAACCTGTTTGAAACAATAAATGCTTAACGCCGCATAGTCTGTCTGAGTCTGTCCTCATTTCAGAGTGTAGCCTAAATATAGTCATAAATGGTGGTTATTCTGACAAGAGATTCAGTTGTTGTTATTTTGCGTTGCTTTAATAGCGTGGACCACTATTTTCTTTTTGATCCTCACAATTTTGGAATCCAGTCGCGGGCTGGATCGAACGGCTCAGCGGACCGGATTCGGCCCGCGGGCCGCCAGTTGATGATCAGTGGTGTAGGACTTTAAGGCAGAAGTAAGTTTTGCAAATTATGCAAATTAGCAAAAAATCTAAGTAGGCGGAGCCTAATAGTTTCACTCTGAAAGTTGTAGGTAATATCTGCCTGCATCTGTAGAAAAAAGAAATTCAATTGTAGAACTAACAGGACAGGAGATATTGACCAAAATGTGCTGGGCAGGCACGATAGCACCCCCATCTGGTTGACAGACTTGGGTCAGAGGGTCTGAGTCGTGGGTAGGAATTGACATCTTCCTGCCAAATTTGGTTGGCCTTGGTCTTACGGTTTAGGCTGCACATTCAGTTTTAGGGCAGAAAAATAATAAATACTCCTAAGAAAAACAATAAGGGTCCATAGCACTGTAGTCTTTTGGACTCTTAATGAAATGAATTAAATAAATAAATGTTCAAATTACAGTGATCCCCCGCCTATCGCGGAAGTTACGTTCCAGACCCATCAGCGAAAGGTGAAAATCCATGATATAGAAAGACCATATAAATAAACTATATATACATGCAGTGGTACCTCGGTTTTCGAACTCAGTAGAACTCAAATTTCTTCAAAGTCGAACAAACCAATTTGACCTAGAACTCGATCTTTATACGAGAAGTCGAACCGTGAACGCTGATCTAATATAAATTGTACGTGCCAGGAAATGAGTCATACTACAGTGCGATTCTTACTTGAATGCCTTCTTCACAGACTGGACGATTAACCAAATAAAGCAGCGCAACATTACAGTAACTAACAATAAATAAACCACTAACTTACATGTGCTATTACAGCATTTATGTCATTTATTTAAACTTTATTTTACCAGGTAAATTAACTGAGTTTAGTTCTCACTGCTTTACGTGATATTCGGGAGAAATAACAGATTACGCATCGGAACTGCCTGGGATACAAACGTCATGCGTGTAACTAAACTCTTCAGCCAATAAGGGCAAAGGTGTGTCGTGACGAAGGCGGTTCCAGTTTGTGCATTGTAGTATGACTCATTTCCTGGCG